TCGTAACCACATACATATGTCTGTTTTCTCCAATAAAGTTTCAGTTGTCAGTGTGCGCTGTGTCCAGGTGTCTTCCTTTCGCACTTCAAATTTTTTCGCGCAACTAAGTAAAGATGAAGTACCAACTCACCCAGCAGAACGTGCTTCTCAATATTATGTGTGTGAAATGTTTCAAAACTTTATGCACCCACTACGCAGTCGTGAGGGAATACGCGCCGTAACGTGTGTGCTTTTTGTAATGGTTGGCTGTCTTTAGACCGCGAAGTCACGTTGGTAATAACGTGTTGTGATGCCCGATGACAACGCACGCTAGTATGATGCAATATTGCTGCGATATTAAATGTGTGCTGTGAAACCTGTATGCAGGATACGTGTATTTGTTAAGCATGACGAGTATTTTCCTTGCATTTCCAACAAGAGAAAGTTATTCATACTTTATTTCCGAACAGATGCGTAGCTATGTGGTAGAGCACTTGCTTGCTATGCAAATGGCCTGCATGATTTCGGTCATCACTCAAACCCAAAAATTTATAATATTTGCTTTATTTGCATTCTCTCAATTTTCGATCATGGACAAGAAGATTTTTCCCTGAGAGTCACCGATGCCTACGCCGGAATTTCTGCGCAACGAGCTCTTTACCGCTGTTTCGTTAATGATGCAGTATTGACAGAACGGAAAGCGGGTTACGTTTACAAAGTACATTTTTGAGTGTCCCGTTGGCAAGAAATATTGCTAAAAGCCTCCGTTCCCACGCACACAGAGACCTATAGGCCCCAGTTTTAGCAGTCGTTCTATAGGCCATTAGTCACAATACTTGTACATGACAAGCTTGCATACCAATCACTTTTGACCGAACTCCTTAAAAGTTGATTATCAACTCATTTAAGTTATTCAATGCACACGCAGTTCATACGGTCAACAGCAAGTCAATATTTCGTTTTGACTGACTATGGACGCTCTATTGACACGCGAGAAAAGTTTTAAATAAACATACTGTGAAAAATATATTTACGAAACTCAAATTGGCTTCTTTTATGCTATTTATTTTTGTCCAGTCGGAATCGATAAAGCGGAGTATTTACTTGCCCCGAACTATGTCTCAGACCGTGTTGACCATAGGTTCAAGGTATGAAAAATCGCATGCAAGACTGATGTGTTTCAAAATGATTTTTTACGAAAAAAAATTACAAAATGGAACCAACTGCCTTCTAGCATTGCCTCTACACTCTCAAATATTTGTTTTATTTCATGTTATAATTAGTGCGTTGCACTTTTGGGGTGTGTCATATGTTCCGATTTATATATGAATTTCCTTTGCAGATTGCGATTCAGGTGACTTTGATTATTTGTTTGGATGACTATGTATTTTTTGTATTCTACTTTTCGTAAACGCTCCCCCAATGTAATGCCAATTGGCGCTGTGGGTAATGAAATAAATAGATAAATAAAAAAGTGTCGATAAGTAAGCAATAAGTATAAGCACAAAGAATGTATCTCTTCAGGAAAAGTAGACTAACAGTGACATGTGCCCAACACAAACTTTAAATATGATGCCAAGTTACATTTTAGCAATTAGTTGTTGAGAATAACTGGAGATATAATGGGGATAACTCAATTGAACAAGAATGTTGAGGGAGTGTGTACTGCCTTTGTTTTGGAGATGATAGTGACTGCATGCAGACCTTTCAACAAACAGCTATATTTCTAGCTGAAGAATGATTTGAGCAGCTATATTTTTTGCCGGTGACACAGGCTGAACTAATATAGATGAATCATTTGAATGGCTTTATATAAAGGTATCCATATAAGGCCATATATGAAAGCATCAATATAAGACCTTATATCGATGCTTCTATATATAGCCATATATGGCCATATACAGCAACACCCATATATGGGGATATAAGGCCCATATATGGCTATATCAGGATTTGGACCTATCAGGTTGTATACGGCCCATATGTGGGGATTCCATATAAAGCCAGATATGCCCAATTCCTGATGCAGCCATATATGGGGATTTTTATATAAGTCCATATATAGAATTTTTGTGAGGGAAGGCCCGACAGACTGCCGTGGCTTGACAGACCTGGTCTAGGATTTCTTGCGTTCCAGTTCAGAGAGAGTATTTTTGCGACCGGGGTTTGTAGGCACTGGAGATTAGGGATGAAGATGTCAAAACAGGAGGAAGTTAACTAATTAGAGAGGGTTTATGTGCATTATGTACATAGCCAGCTTTCGTACGAGACGAGCTCTTACTTACACGGCAAGCTGTCGAATTGCATTCGTCTACATGGCGCCCTTCCTCCTGCCTCGACCACTTCATCCCGTATCTCCTGTGCCGCAAAGGCTGGTCGCAACAGTCTGTGCCTCCCAAGACCACGCTGTGAGTGTTAGCGGGCACTCATCAGGACACACGCGTGTACACAGAAGCCTTATTTCCACACGGAAGCCACCTTGACTGAACCTTGGTTGACGCAACCCCCCTCCCCCCAACCATCCCCTGTAGGGCCTCACTGACCGCAGCGGCTCACTCACCCTGGTATAGGGTTCCTGTTGGCTTCGGCAGTCCACTTCAGTAAGTGTACCTTCCGAAACCACGCTGTGAGTGTTTGGACTTGAACACACATATGCACATAAGATGCAATACAAGAAGGCGGAGGAAGAAGAAGACACAACAAACTGTTTCTTCAAGGAAACCTGGGTGGTTCAATCTTGGTTGGTGCACCCCTCCCCTCTCCGGTTAGGGGCCCAGTAACTACCGTGGCTCGTCTGGTCTTGGTCTGGTCTAGAGTAGCCTGTTGGCTTCACGAGTCCAGTTCGGAGAGTCATGCCTCCCGAGACCACGCTGGGAGTATTAGCGGACTTACACACCACATGCGCCGAAAAGAAAAGCAGAGGAGGAAGAAAAAACTTTATTTTTGAAAGTCTGCGGGCTCCAAACTTACGTGGGGTCGCCTCCGAGGTCGGGTACCATTGAGTGCCGTGGTTCGCCGTGGCCTATCTGAGGTTGCAGGTGGCCTTTGGGAGTCTGGTTCTGAACGTCGTGTATCTTAAAGGGGTCGTGACACAAAAATTGAAACTTCCCGGTCGCAATTTTTTCTTGATTTAATTTTTGTTAGACATAACAAATGCAAAATATTTCAGCACAATATCCTATCTGTAATTATTGGCGCCCGTTAGAAGTCTCAGTTTTTCGGAAATCGCTAGCGACCATGCGCGACCATTGGCCGCTATAGGCACTAATATATGACGTCGGTGAAACGTCACATTAAGAGAAGTTAAAAGCACAGCGCTAGCTTTGTATTGCTCCAAAGTAGTGATTTATAGTAACCTAGAAAAGAAAAAAATAGAACACTTTTCGCGCTTTAAGTTGTATGCTGTGCAATTAAAATGAGTGATCTGCCGAGCAAGCATCCAACTTGCTGAATGCAGCTGCGTGGCAACGGCCGTGGCTACTGGCTGCGCGGGAGCGTGACAAGGGGTGCCACTAGTGGGCGCCCGTCGCAAGCTTTTTTCTCGTCGCTCCGATAGCACCGATCGCCCTGGTATTTGTGCATATCGTTGTTGCCGGCAGCACAAAAAACGTTGGATAAACTGTTTTTGGTGGGAAATAACTGATGATTGAATAAATTGATGCTTGAAGTGTGCTATTTCTGCAAGGCAACGTTCGTTTCCGAACCACCAACGAGATATCGAGCTGTTATGGAACGCCATCCCTCAGATAAGCCAACAGGGGCACCGGCCGTCTCGGCGAACCGGCCAGCTTCGTTCCCACTTTTGCTCTTTAGATTGAGGCCATCGACAAAACTAGTTGCACGGGTAAAACATCATATATAAGTGTACAAGTTTTTATCATGTTGGCAAAAAGAAGCACTCGACAATTAGTTCACGTTGGAAAGTGAGCAGCGCTATCGAGAACGTCGGCCATGCTAGGCCTACGCTTGGAGTCAAAAATGGATGTGGGCTCTGGCGATGTTTGTCGCTCGCGAAGGCGTACTTTGTTAGCAATGTTATTAGGCAACGAATTATGACTGTGTGAGGTTGTTTATTTTGTAACAGGATACAATGCTTTCCTGTAGTGAGCAAGCCGAGATGCCATTTGTGGGTGGAGCCTGCGCGCTGATGGCTCGTTCGCCCCATGTGCTAAGAATTGTCACACGCCAGATCGGATGCTGAATCGCACTGTGTCCAGCGCTTAGTCCTCGCTACGTCAACCGTGTACGTCGTCAGACAGTGCCGCACGCACAACTTATCAAAGTGCAAACAACGTTCGTTCTCACAAGCTGCCCAGCGAGCCACAGCGCTGAGCATTGCTTAGAGCTATCAACCACGATGTCCCCCGATAATATGGGCATACAGAATAGAAACCCGTGGTCGGGCCTTCCGCAAGCGGAGGTTCTGCCACGCGGTCTCGATGCGACTGCTTGCAGGGCGCAGACTTCTTCGCCGTCGTCACCGCTGCCGCTGCCTTGTTCTTGAGCCGACTCCCCCAAAGCAGACGACGCCGTAGTTCGGGAAAGTTGGGTGGTGCTGACGGCGCCCATAGTTTTTCCTTCCTTCATGACGGAGCAAAACGCTATGACGCTACGAACCACGGTCAACTAAGGCTAAAAAAACATCGCTGCGTCACCATGTTTTATCTACAACAGAGAGACTTCATTGGCTGTCTTAAAGTGACGTCGGCTGCACAGTTGACAATACGTCAGCTGGGACACCGGAATCGCGCTTTTTTGTATATTCATTGAGCTCAGACGATCAAACGAATTAAGGTATAGTATTGAATGGACGGCCAGGATTCTGAAAACACGCAGAGTTTAAAATTTTGAAGAACGTTTAAGATCCCCTTTAAGGGCACAATGAGACTGTTAGCGAACTTATAGATGCGCACACGCATACACACATACACACACAGGTTTGGACGTGTGCAACTTTACTAACCAAAGCTTCGCATTATCCTGCGTTTTGCAACTTCGGATAGCTGTCACAAAAATACCTGTTTGGACGAACAACAATAATGCGCTCTTTATTGAAGATTTGGCGCTCAAATACACGGGTAAAGGCTTCGATATCAGCATGTTTTCTTCGCCGGTTATATTGCAGTCATTCGGCACAAGTCTTCGGGTCTTCAGTATTCCAAGATCTATTTAGAAAATGGGGGAAAGAAAAGAGAACAGGGAGTGTTTCACGTGCGAAGGCCTTCAAACGTTGTCGTAGAACGATAGCAAAAGTGATACAGTCAGCTAGTCAATTTGTCCATGTTTCATAAAAGTGCAAAAGGAAACTAATTGCATATATATAGGATTAGTTTCCACTCTGAGGTGTTCAAGAAAAACAGGCTCATTCCTAAATGTGTCTTAAAGATAGTTAGGCCAGTGCTAAGCTATTATGCCCTCCATGCTATTAGTACTAATGACCCATGGTATGCGATCAAGGTATTACGCCCTCCATGCTATTAGTACTAATGACCCATGGTATGCGATCAAGGAGACTTAAGCTGACATCGGCCTTAGAACGGTGCAGCACCAAATACATGCTCTCACCTGTTCATCCAATGAAGCTTTATTACATTTATCAGAAGGTAGCGAATCACTTAGCGTCTATTAATCGTTTTTTCCTTGTCGAAAAAGTGATTTCTCTTTGGTGTCGTGGATAATTTTTATTCCACATTTTCAATACTCATGTGCAGCATACTGTAATTTTAGTTTTCGCAGCATGCAATGTTCTCAGAAGGTAAATTTCGCAAATTTGGTGTTCTTAAGCCTGCGTTACTTTATTTATGCAAGTTACACAACTTAACCCCCTATTCAGAAACGCTCTTTGAATTGAACTTGACTTACCACCACCTTCAATGCAACACAAACGCGTTCCGAGCAAGCTGCTTCAGGCAGTGCCAAGGAAGTACAAAGACGTTTCAAACGCACTGCATTGAAGGTGATGGCAGGTCAAGCTCAAGTCAAGGAGCGTTTCTGAATGCGGGCGTTACTGTAGCTCAGAGTGCGTGCCACAAAGTCAAAGATAACGTGTAGAATGAAGGCACGGCAACTTGCCCAGGAACAAAGTCTTTCTGAGCGAGAAATTCGCTTGTTAGAGCCTTTCTTTTCCTTGTGACATTCATGGTGACACAGCATCCTAATGACCTAAACAACTGCCCAATCGGCTACCCTTTTATATACACCTACAGAGCAGGGTTCGCAAGATCACCTCAGCTTGTAGGCCACAGTCTCGACATTTACACATTTGGTCCCTCAAGGTCGGGACAGTGAAATGAGTTGAAGAAAGCAGGGTGCGTGAGTATATGTCACCTAACGCTGCTTTTTGAAAGAGCGCCTTACCTATATGCTATATGACGATCATTTCTGGAGGGAATGTGGTGATAGGGAGGCGAAAATGCTTGATGCCTTTGTGCTTAAGTCTAGGTGCACGTTAACCTGAGGTAGACGAAATTTCCGGAGCCTTCAACTATGGTGCCTCTCATAAGCATACCGTGGTTTTAGGACGTTGTACACCAACAATTATTATTATATAATTATTCGTTGTTTTTCTCACTCTTGAAGTATTATCTCGCTTTCTCTTTGCGCACGCAAGCTTGTGTGTATGCGTAGTTTATAAAAGAGTCATTCTGAAATAAACTTCTGGAATCGTTAAAGGATGCGATTACTACTATACTTCGTGTTCGGTCAATATTTATCATGGCAATTTTATCAAAAATGCTGAGTCACAAAAAATAAAAATATGCTTACTCAAGTATATCAAACAGTAATTTCGGAACTCAACGAGCGCTTGTATAGTCTCGCAGTTTTTTTGTTTTTTTAAAGATCGTCTACACCAAAAGAGAAAGGTGAGAACCAAAAAGAACATTTTTGCTTTTCGTCACAGTGCTTAGGGCCTGCGATGACGTAATGAATGTTTCGTGGTATTGAATGCATATCTATGAAACGTAAGAGCACAGTACTTACAGAAGTGACCAGAAACTTCCGATGAAGAGGCAGTGCGCTGAAAATGAACGTGTTATTCTTCTCAGACGTGAAATCATTTCTTCCTCTTTAGGTAGACGAAGACGGCGTGCAGGCCGTGAAGAACTGAGCTGATTATGGCAAACACCTGCGGAGTACAGAACACGAACGCTTAAATATACCAATGTAATGAATGCGCTCAGAAAAAAACAACAAAAAGAAATGAGAGAAAATTCACGACAAGTTTAGTGATTTCACAGTTACGTTCTCGTCTACTTTCTATTCTCCATTTTGCAGTATTTTTTGTATATAGCAGGACGTTTTTCCGTACTTCTAAAAAGATTTTTTTGTTACCGATATGCTTTTCCACTGTCCTACAACAATTCTGAGTTGCTAGATCTGAGTTCGCATAACAGAGTGTGCACGCTTTGGAGCCAATGACATCTAGCATTCACCATGCTTCACGGCCTTCCTTGCTACGTGTTCGGAGAATTCGACAATAATGTCTTGCGAAGTGTGAACTTTTCTAATTAGCAAGATGGTTAGTATCGGCTTTACGCTTTTGGATTTTATTCTACTGAGTGCGATTCTACGAAACATGATAAAATATTTTAGGGGAATTTATTTGATGCACAACGTCACAACCCTCAAAATTTTTCTGTCGATGAACAGGTGAAGTCCACCATTATCTTGTGAGCTACAAGTTTTTTATGATATTCACAAAACAAATAGTTTACTGGGTAAGTATGGCCAATTGGATATATGAAAGAAAGCAACTAAGTTTACGTTTTCTTAATCCAAGATTTCTCATGCAATTTAAGCAGAAAATACCTGCAAATTTTATGTTATTGAGCATATATTTTTTATTCACAGTGTACGTTGACTACAAAAGTATGCGTTTCATATATACAATGTTGTGTACAGAAGCCAACGATTCCGTGCGCAATGTCACAGTAAAGGTATGAATTAATGAAGGAGGCAGCGAAACAAAAGAACAAATTATAATTTACCACCGAAGACGTTAATCACTACGAGCTCATAACCTTTCAAATTCTATATTCAGCACGTGCAGAGCAACGCGCACAGCCATGGGCATAACCCGACAAAGCTGCACAGGCAAATCTGCTGCTCATACTGCTCCCGATACATCTACTTCGAAGTGTGATAACGTGCATACTGTATCGGTATTTATAAATTGAACTGCCCGATGATTAAAATGGGATCTATCAGATGCCGAAAGACAAATAGCCAATTTACCCCACAAACGACGTTCAGCAATTGTTTACACACTTATCTGCGATTCAAACTATACCGCAACCAGACATGCCACAATCATGCGGACTCAGGTACAGCATGCATGGTTGTGAACCATCTGTTGGATGACGGCCAGGTGAAACATGAAGTACCCCAGGTCGTATGTGGATCGTGGTCGCACACGCTCAGCTATAGGACATGGTGGTATCGTCGGCATAGTATATGAGCACGAGGGCATATATCCTTTGAGCGCGACACGTAATTTGGGAAGCTAATGCAAGAATTACTAGCTAAAGAAAGCAAGCCAGTCAGGTTTCATTACTGATGCACTAAATGATACATTTTCGTTTGCATACATCATGCGCTTGAGATTTTGAGCACCTGGATTTATTATGAATTTGCGACCGATCGTATTCAATACGATTGCCAATAAATTGTGCACACGTAACCGCAAAATTAGATATATATATATATATATATATATATAGATATATATATATATATATATATATAATTAATATATATATGAATATATATACATATATATAAATAAATAAATAAATATATATATATATTATATATATATATATATATATATATATATTATATATATATATATATATATATATATATATATATATAAATATATATACATATATATAAATAAATAAATATATATATATATATATATTATATATATATATATATATATATATAGATATATATATATAAACAACGGTGTGGTTGAGTAACAGGCGACATGAAGCACTATTAATGGAACCTGCATCATGGTCGTAAACAATTTTTAGGGCGATAACATTCACAAAGCTTGTAAAACGCTGCTCTACACTGTACAATCGGGGGCTGTAGATGCCAGCGGACGTTTTACGGAACCTCTAGCCACAACATTTTTATTAGTAAACACGCTACAGCAATAAACAGCCGACTGCTTTAGCAGTTTTCTGTGACTATGAAGCATTATTAAAATGATGTGTGCTGTATTCCTGCACGCTTCTTCCACGATTCTGGTTGTGGTTCCTCGGTGAACACATGAACAATGAGCAAAAAAAAAAAAATTAGCAGAAATGACGATTGGCCGCACGGCTGCTTTGTGCTAGTATTTCCTTGCGGTGTCTTTGCGAGATCGTGCATTTAAATGAACTTGTTCAAACACAAGCGTATTGTATGCGACTGTGTTCACTTGAACTGAATGCTAATTAACGATGCTTTAATCCAAATTTATGTTGTTTTTATTCATTACCTTATGTTCAAATTCGAGAAATCTGCATTGCGATATACTTTCGCTCAACTACAGCCTCTGAATTATGGTGTTGTGACTTTTTTTTTGCCATTATTAGGTACAGCTCTAGCAATACCCGTGGGGAGTTATTAAAAGAGTTTGCAGAACGTAATGATTGAGGTATCTTGAATACCTTTATCAAAAAATGAACTAACCATAAGTGGACGTGGCGAAATTTTAAATTTTAATGGGGAAACTACAAATGAAATAGACTTGATTTTATGTTCCCACCCAGATATTTAGAGGATGGAAAGTATAGTTGGCAAGATCCCATGCAGTGATTTCATGCTAGTAGAAACTCAAATGCACCTAGATTTTTAAAAAAAGCAAGGACTTAAAACTGATACGCAAGAAGCCAATTATTGAGCTAGCATTGAGAAACAAAGTACAAGAATTTAGAGTTTCGCTTCAGAATTGATTCGTGACAATAAACGACGTAACTTACGTTACAGTTGACCCAATGAAGTATAATCTTACTAGCATCATCAAAGAGTGTGGAATAGAAGTCGGAAGTACAGGCACTAGACAGGACATTGACAAACCATCCCAGGAGATGAAAAATCTCATTAGGAGACGACAAACTATGAAATCCTCAAATGCAACCGAGAAAAGAGAGCTAGTGGTGTTTTCGAAGTTAATCAATAAGTTTAAGCAGCCCATATCAAAAGGTATAGCATGGAGAGAATCGAGCAGGCTCAATAAAGTGGCAGAAGCCTGAAATCTGTGAAGGCAAACTTGTGCATAGGAAAAAATCGAATGTATGCATTGAGGAATAAGAAAAAAAATGCTATAAATAATATTGCTAGAAAAGTTGAGGTGGCAGAGGCGTTCTCCAGAGCTGTGCAGAAGCTGAAACAACCAGAATGATAACGTAAGAAGCAATACTAGCCCAGAGCAATTCGACATCCTATCCGTAACAGGGGAAGTAATGAAACCGGTAAAAGAAATTAATGCAAAGACACAAAGACACAGGTTAGGATAAGGTAACAACGAACCTGCTCAAAAATGGTGGAAACATTGTGTTAGAAATACTGGCCACCCTGGTCACAAAGTGTTTCCTGATGGGAAGAGTACCACAATCTTGGAAGAACACCAACATCTTGTTAATTCATCAGAAAGACGTCTAGGACTTGAGAAATTACAGGCCAATCAGCTTACTGTCTGTTTTCTACAAACTATTTGCCAAAATAATAACTAATAGAACAATGGTGACATTAGAGTTCTCTGATCCATAAGACCAAGCGGGTATTTGTACATGCAACTCCACAATAGGCCATATTCATAGTATCAAACCGGTAATAGAGAAATGAGCGAAATACGACCAACTCATATACATAGTCTTCATAGAATACGAGAAGGCGTTTGACTCAGTCGAGACATCAGCAGTGATGCAGGCACTACAAAATCAGGGCACCGACGAACCCTGCATAAACATACTGTAAGAAATCTGCAGCGGTTCAACAGTCACTATAGTTCGCCGTAAATAAAACGACATTATCCCAATACAGGAGGGTGTAAGGCAGGGAGACACGATCTCTCTAATGTTATTCACCGCGTGTTTAAAGCTTTAAACATGTAGTGAATAACACTGATCTACGGCCCTAGATAGGGAAGAGTGAGGAATATATAGGAGTTATTGGAAAGTATTTTAGTAAGCTGTGATTCACTAATGACCTTAACTTGATGAGTAACTTAGGAGATGAATTACAGCTCACGTATACTGAACAGGACACAAAAAGCAGAATAGTAGGTCTGAAAATATTATGAATGAAACTAACATATAGCGGAACAGTCTCGGCTCTCCACAGAAAACAGCGCTTTGAAATAGGTGTAGAGATGCTTGAAGTAGTAAAGGAATATGCCTACTTAAGAACGGTAGTAACCACAAAGCCAAACCATGAGAGTGAAATAACAAGAAGAATAAGGATGGAATGGATTACATTCGGTAACCATGAATGCTAATCAACCAGTAACCTTCGAGAGTAAGCTATTTCTCGTGGTGTATAATGCTGACAAAGTAATGCACAGCTTGAACACGCCCATAGGTTAAATGAATATACTTGGACGTGTTCACGACAGACGCTAGGATGATGTCATCCGCTCAAATCAAGTCATGACTTCTTCAAGTGAAGTCACACATCAGAAAACAAGCGGAACAATCACAACGCATATACTATAACGAACACAAACAATGCAAAGAAGTTTACCCCAGCAGCAATCGCCACGCTTTGACCGGCTTCTAGGGCCAGCAGGGAGATGCCGCCGCTGAGATAAAAGACGAGTCCAAAGGCTTGCAGTAGAACGTACTGCACGAAAAATGCGACAGCGATTTCAGCAGGAAATGCACTGGGAACTTCATTGTAATGATATATTCAATGTGGCTCACTCCCCGTGGGGACTGCCTCGCACGCTGCTGTATTAAACCATGAATTGTGTACACAAGTCTGAGCTTGTCGATGCTGCTCGCTGTTCAAATGTCACCTCAGCAAGTGGCAATAACACGTCGCGACGGTATCGCAGTCAGATGCTGAATGTCCGTAGGTGAATTCTCGCATGTATTTAGAGCTGAACGTCTGTATACACGACAACAGTATGATTACAGAGAATTTCCTGCATGTTTGCGCGGAATGGTAGTGTCAGTGTAACCACACATTTCTCTTTTTCTGCAGCCAGCATTGCGTTAGCGAATGTTTGTCTTTTTTTTCCGCTAATGCCTGCACAGAATGCCACTGGTCACAGTCCAGAAAAACAGGTTGATCATTGATAAAGATCATTAGCTTTCCGGAGTCAATGTATTTCATGTGCCTGAATTCTGAACAACGCGGCCAAGTTTCGCGAGTGCCAGTCGGCTAACAGTTCGTGGACCTCTAATGCGAAGCACCACATTACGAATATGTGCCTGTACAAGAAACGTCATATGCACGTAAATAACGCTGCCTACGTGACATTTGGCATTAAACTTCCGATGAGACTACACGTCATAGCTGGGAAAGGCAAAATATATTTTTAAGAAACACACACAAAGGCAAAAATCAAAAAAGCACGTTTCGTTGAACGGCATCTTTGAGCGGGTGCTTACAGTTTGTTTCCGTGACTTAGTCTGTGATTTTATTTTACTCCAGCAAAAATACAGGTATATAGGGTGAAGTAAGAAAAGGTTAATTTGAGGGCTCATTCACTTCGTTAGACACAAAATTAATTAGAACTGATATACAATTATACCAAGGAAAGTATAGGAGATGTTAATACAAGTAATTGTGCTGTAATTGTGAAAAAATAAAAGTGGACGAAAAGGTAATTTGCCGTGCAGGGACTGAACCTGCCCCATAGCATACCCCATGAAGTTGACGGTGGGATAGCTGCCGAGCTAGATCAGTAGGTAGAGCATCGGACACGTTATTCGAAGGTCGCAGGTTTGGTCCCTGACCACGGCAAGTCATTTCTTCGTCCACTTTTCTTCCAATTCACTAAAGATAGCTCGTCTCATATCAGCCTAAAGATTTGCCTCTTTGATTTGGTCATAATATTTTAGCCTTCGGACATCTCTGACCTATATTCACTTTACTGTATTATCGGTGCCACCGCTAGAGCCCTATGAAGTCGAGATGACGTGAATAGACGCGGCTGCTGTAGGACAGGGCGAACGTCAGTATGCCCGTTACCTGCGAGGAGTATAGAGCCACCATTTCATGAGCGCTTGGGTGCAGCCACGGAGGAAGGAAAAAGGTAAGGAGAGGGCATGCCCAGCCGGTGCAGGGCGTAAAAAATGTGGCGGAAATGACATCATGGCGGCCATATTCAGTAGGCACAATGGCGGCGTTGTTATGGTTACGTGTTGCGCAGAGAAGCTGGTCTAGCAGTGAGCGGCCGCGGCTGGCGGCGGAATGTGTGCCTCCCCAGGTCTCGTGCTGAGCCGTGGCGGACAATATCTGTGCTCTGCGCCGCGTTATTGGTTACGCAGTGTTCGTCTGGCTGTTACATTACTCTTAGCAACGTTTACAAATCTCTTTGTCCATCACGGGGTTTCAACAGTGCGTAGAACAAGTGCATATCCATGTGTCGTGCGACGGATGACGCGGATGAAGCAGTTAGTGTTCAGCGAAATGGCGTTGGGCACCATGACGAAGCTGAATGACGACGAATGCCTTGCAGGTCAGTGACGGTTGAGCAGCGCTCCTGCTTGTGACAACGGACGACGCTGTTGAGTCCAGCAAGACGCCGTGAGGACCATGTGCACATACGTAGTTTCGTGTTGTGTGTGTACAGTAACAACTTGCATGTGCGTATTAAAACACCTTTTCTGTTCCGCTTGGTACACTCTCCACCAGCATTGCATGTAATCTCAACATAACAGCAACCACGTTCAACTGTCACTAGCACCGTGCTCAAAGTCACCACGGTCGCAGAATGCTGACGCAGGTGAGTTTCACGCGGAACACGGACACAGTGGCAGGACGCTGCGTCAGTCGCGTGGCGGAATGCAACCGTAGAAGGCGCACGACCGATCGTGTTGTCTGTACAGTTGCTGAATTAATGACGTGAAAGCACTCGCCGTTGTCAGTGCATCTAGCGCGCGTTCTTTCGTAGTTGCTTCGTTGTCAGCGAGCTGTTACTCTTTATTATTACTCGGACGAAGCGATTTCACTCAAGGTGTCCCGCTGGCTCTGAGTGATGAGCCCAGTTCCATTAGTTTCGGATCGTCACGACACACGCGCTGCGCAGCCCACGTGCTTTCCGAGCCGGAGAGGGAGTCGCGCCTTCTGCTTCGCATTCATATGTAAACAAGAGAGGAGAAATTGCCTATTCAATATGGCCGACTTCCGGCTTCATCGCGGCTTCACAACGAGTGACGTCAGGGCCTCTCCTTACCTTTTCCTTCCTCCGTGGGTGCAGCCCACTGCCGTCAAATACGCGACTGTCACCCATTGTTGCCAACTGTCTTTCGAAAATACCCCATTTCACTCTACGCAGGACTATTGAATTCAAATAGGTAATCACTGTTTTTAAAGCTACAGAAATGCTTGTTGCAAGTAAAGAAGCACCAGTACAACCAACTGCGTTGGTACAGAAGTAATTTTTTAATTACAACGAATGATTCCTGAAGACAATCTATCGTTGATAATACAAAAAAAGAAAGAGCGCACTATTCTGTCTTGGCGTTTCTCGAGTTTCTGGCGCACTTCGTGACCCAAGAAGAACGATGATTCGCGTGACAAAATGACGGTAGGTACTCACGATTGGTCCATGTACGCGAAATATCAGTAGTGTGTTATCTCCTGAACTGCTTTCGCACGCACTTGCCCAAATGTACCCCGCCGTGGTGGTCTAGTGGCTAAGGTACTCGGCTGCTGACCCGCAGGTCACGGGATCTAATTCCGGCTTCGGCAGTTGCATTTCCGATGGAGGCGGATATGTTGTATAGGCCCATGTGCTCATATTTGGGTGTACGTTAAAGAACACCAGGTGGTCGAAATTTCCGGAGACCTCTACTACGGCGTCTCTCTTAATCATATGGTGGTTTTGGGACGTTAAACCCCATATAACAATCAGTTGCCTAAATGTTCTGCCTTGTCACGCATTACTATTGCGCGCGATGAACTGATTTCACTACATTTTGCGTGTTTTTAACAGCGCTATCCGAGCTAACAACTGGTAGCCGAAAAGCACAAAATTCTGATAGGTTCCGCGCTTAGCACTGACATTGTACACGTGCATTTAAAGGGCCCATCACCAGCACGCATTCAAGGATGAGACAGTAGTCTTCTCCTCACCTTCGCTACACTGGCGATTTCTCCTCCTCGACACTTATTTGTTACTAACACGTGTACAATGTCAGCATTGTGCGTTAAGCCCATGAGTATTTCGCGCTTGTCGGCTACACACTCTCATCACCGCTTGTGCAGTCTGAAACACACGAAGTGAAGTGGAATGAGCTGATCGCGCACAATGCTCTTGCCAGGCAAGAAAGGATAGATGGACGGTTGCATGACAAAGCAATGCAGTAGTGAGCTGGTATAAACTCATGGCGAGATTTTGCACGTGGAAAACGGGACAAAGGGTGCAATGCCTGTCCCATGCATTCTTATTTTTGACCTGTTTCCCACGTGCTAATTATCGCCATGAAAGCACTGCAGGAGACTAATCACGTATGACATTTTGCTTATATGGACCAGTCGAGAGTATACGTACAGTCGGCCAAAACATTAGGTTTTGTGCATAGTGGCCACTTTTTTGTCCCTCAGCACCATATTATGAAACGAAGCTACAAAAAAATGGCTTCGTGGACATGTATTTTATGGGCATATACTTGTTGGGAAACTTAATTCTGTCGTATACAGCAAAGGTGCCCAAAAAAATTGGCAACGTATCGGCGCGCTTCGCTGGCAAATTTCGTCCACAAGACGATAGTCTACTGTCTGAACAGAGAGAACAAAACGTTTTTTTTGATGTTCTGCACGAGAAAATCGGTGAAGAAGCACTGCGCGAGATATGGATGCCATATAGCAGTATTTTAAATAAACGAAGTTTTTCTAGAACGCAAAGTCACTGGCAGATAGCACTACCATGTAGTTTTGGTTAGAGTCACTGTATATGCTCTCTACGGGAGTAGAACAGCGCATCGGTCCAACATCTTGCCTGGTTAGCAACCATAGGTACGCAGCGAAGCCGTGCTGTGTTTTTGCAGGTGACTTACTTAAACCTGTCGCTGATCGCCAGTCCACGTGCCTGGCGTTTGAACGACCGTCGAAGAAGAAGCACCTCCTTTCGGGACTGTGTCACGGAAGTTCGAAAGCATTTTTTAGTCTCTTCGGTAACGCAAAGCGCAAAGGCGTAGCGTAATGCCGAATCACAGGCACTGCCACAGCCGCATGGTCAAGCAGCGCCAGCTATGTAAGAAAAGCAATAACTCACAAACACAAAATATAGGTCCTCCGTGATTCAAAAAGCACCCCACTAGGCCTACAGCATTCATTATTGTAGTATGTTTTTCAAAAATGGTGCCGAATCCACGCCAATAATGTGCTGTCGAAGCTTAAGGACATGAATCAAAAGCATTTAAAAACACTAGTACGTAGATAATGAGCTACAGAGTGCACGACGGTCACTTGATATAATTCAGATGGACGGCAACTGCATTTTACGGTGCGGCTTGTGCACAAGCTTCTACGCAGAGCATGGTTGCTTGCAGAGTTGGAAAACAAATACACTACTCTGCTACCTAATGTAGCATTTACAGTGACTCTAGTTTTAGTTAAGTGTAGGAAACACCCGTCTTTCTGGTCATAGCACCGCATATTCTATAATAAGCACTGCGGTCTTTATAGTGACCTATCTAAGCATTTTAAAAATAAAGTAACACACTACCTCATGTTGCGCAAAAATATGCGTAATATCTTTGTTTGATTCACAATGTCAGCAAATATTAACTCAAAAAGCAGACAAATATATGGCTTGTCGCGTAAAAAGGGGTTAAAATTTTGCGATTCTACTGAATCGGGTGACAGAAGCAGAAACACACACACACACACACACACACACACACACACACACACACACACACACACACACACACACACACACACACACACACACACACACACACACACACACACACACGTGCGCGCGCGCGGGCGGGTGCATGAGCGAGATAGACAGACAGACCATAAGTCCTGCGTTGAAGTACCTCTTGAAAGGATATCGTCTGTGAAACTGCCCCTCATTCACGATAGCTAGAAATTTGGCCGACCGTACGCTATAGACATCCTGGAAAGTGCACTTTACCAAGTGCACATGAAGTGTGCTAAAAAGAAGAAAGAGGCCAGGAGAGAAAATAAAGCGCTTTTTTGTATATTTAATGATGATGTATCTGGAGTGATGTATCTGGATGTTGTATCTGGAATGATGTATCTGGATGATGTATCTGGAATCGTCACATAGAAATTAAGGAAAGAACTTGAGTGATAGATTAGCAAGAGTGCGGAAAAATGATGATATGATTGGGCTCTCCATATTCAGGCAAAGCATTCCATTCGCGGATGGCACGAGGAAAAGAAAAAACTGCTTGAACAAGTTGGTTCGGCAGGAATATTTAGTTAGTTTGAGCGAATGAAGCGAACCAGTAGCGTGCTTGCTACACGGTTTAATGTACAAATCCTTGTCTACTTCGACGTGTTTGCGGTGTGTTACGTATAACATTTTCAGTCTATCTTGATAGCATGTCTAAGAGTTTCAAGGTTCGCGGCCTGTAGCAAAGCACTAACGGATGCGTGACGACGGTATGAATTGAAAATGAATCTGACTGATTTACGTTTTATGTTCTCAGTTTCACTTGTGGTCGACAGAGTGTAGGGACCCCAGGCAGGAGCAGCGTATTCTAACAATAGCCTAATGTATGTCTTGTATGCCAACAATTTTATATTACTGGTACATTTAGACAAGATTCTCCTCAGATATCCAAGCGTTTTCATGTCTTTATTTTTAATATTAGTTGTGTGGCTATTTAACTTAATGTCTGACGCAATCACTAGACCAAGGTACTTATAGGGAGTAACAAACGATAAGTTATTACCGCATTATTAAATTATGATCAACAAAGATTTTACTTTTTTCGCTACAAGTGGAAGAACGAACAGAGGATGAGGACTTGTCATTTCCCATACCTTTGTGTTCTAACACTTATAAATCGCATCACTTTGTCGGATTTGTTTCAAGAAGCGCCGTTCCACGTTAAGCTGAAGTGATAATTTTATCGCGACTTAAATGTAAGTTGTCCCGCTGACTTCTTCTTCAACGCGCCTGAACTTTCTTAACGTAAGTCACCTCGTCTCCCTAACACTTTCACCGTTGCTCTGTATCATCTATACACGACTGATTCATATACTTCTTATGTTTCTTAGAGGGCCATGGACTTATATTTAGGCAACGGTTAAAGAACTCCATGTAGCCGAAGTTTCCAGAGCTCTGGACTGTGGCGTCTCTCATAAACATATCTAAATTTTGAGACGCAAAACCCAAACAACTAATATCTTATTATTCTTTAGCGAGTGAAGGAAACTCTTCCTTTTAGAAAAGTTTCCTGGAAAACCATTCCATATACCTTAGAAGAAATAACACTCATGCGCTGGATGTGGGAAACCAAGACGAAAAGGAACGTTTGAGGAATACGATAAATAGTTATATGCGACTACAATAAAGAGAATACGTAATTTAATTAAGACTCAATGACAGCTTTCTACGAATGGTATCAAGGATGGGAAACTCTTGAGACAGCAGCCGTGCATTTTTTTTTGTCTCAACGTCACATCGTTACAAGAGTATGCGGCTATGAACTATGTGAACTATGCTGCTTAACATTCGCATAGTACGCATTTTTCATGGGACATTGAGTGGTCCTTATAAAATCGTACTATGAACGCAATAATATTCCACTCTTCGGAAATCATCATTAGTTTGAAGTGGGGGTGTACTAATTAGGTAATGGACGTATCTTTCGTACAAGTATATATATATATATATATATATATATATATATATATATATATATATATATATATATATATATATATATATATATATATATATATATATATATATTATAGGTATGGGATATGGCACAACGCTCCCGTTGTGCCATATCCCATACCTTCACAAAGACTAACTGGCCCATTGAATTATTACTCCCACTATATATATATATACACTTTGTACACATAGTGACAACTTTCTACATCACAGGGTGGGCACAACCTTGCGCATGATGTTCGGATATTCGTGCAAAGTACATACTATAATGGCCGAGTACATAGTCAGAGCCTAGTCAGCTATGAAAGATGACGAGCCTCTGATCGTGAGTGGAATATTTAGCAAAATTTCATTGAAGAGCTAACAACCGAGCGATTTGGAAACAATGTGTGGTGCCTCTGAGCACATTCGCCAAACATAGCTGCGCGGAGAGAGAAGGAGAGGTAATCGATATATCGATTCCTCTTGCGGAGCGCAAGTCTCGTCTGCTTGCACGTTGCGCCTCGCACACTGACGCATTCCGAGCAACACGTATACCGTCGGAGTGACGCACGAAGCGGGCGCCTTCTCCATCTCACCACGACGCGCGATGAACGCGAACGTCACGGTAGAGGTTACGACGGCGCTTCAATCGTCCGACTAAAGTCGTCGTGACAGAGTCTACAGATTTCACCCGAAAACGGGTCTACGAAAAATTGCGCCAAAAATGGTGAAACAGCAAGTCTGGGTGCGACCGGGAGCGCCGTGTTTCGAGTTATTTTGCCAGCCTCCCGCGGCACAACCCGTCAGCGCGGGAAACACGCAGCGATGCAAGGAGGTGTTACTTGCAATTTCGGCGATGGTCAGTATTCCGCACGGCGAGTTGAGGAATGACAAAGAGAGCGCGAAGGAGAAGGACGGCAACTCATCGTCGGCGCCAGCAAACCAGACGTCAAGCTGGGGCAATCCCATGATGGTTTGCGTGTGTCACGCCGCGCGACGGCGGCGTCTGCCTCCGGGCTCTACTCGGTGAACGGTATGCGCCAGCGCCGTTTCTTCCGGCCGCGGGTGGTTCGAGGGACGAAAGAGGGCGAGTGCGGATGGACCGCGCGCCTGCTTGCCTTCAACCGCGCGCACACCCACGCGCCTGTCGTAAGCAGCGGAGCGCCCACCGCCGGCGTTTGTTTTCTTAACGCATCGTTGGTCCCGTCGCTATAGGCTTATCGTGGTCCCTCAGGCGCGCAGATATTTTCGTTTGTTCGCGCTGCATTCCTGGCTGTCGTGGCCGAGTCCTCACGAGCAGGAGAGTAACGTGACATTACGGGCCTTAGACGAGAGTGAAGTGGATAAGAACCTCACCGACAAATGCAAGCCTGCAAAGTACAGAGCTTCACTCTATCGGCCAAACGGCGTTGTAGCGGATGTGAGATTCCGGGCGGCGCGACTTCCCCAACCGAATGGAGCCGTTGATTTACGGTGCCTTTACGCGAAAGGGGCGGCACTGTCTCAAATGTTGAGCTCTGCCACTGAAAAGCCTCGAAATGATCATAATAATTTAAGAAAGTGAGTGTGCACATGCACCGTCAGTATGAAGATAAGTTTGGTCCCACAGCTCCGCAGTGATATCTGCCAAGCCAGTGGCTTTTCTGGGCTTCCTTCACGCGATCGAATTTCTTTAGCTGCTGCTATAGCATAAAAAACGGACATTCTAAAACAATATCACAAAACCATAATATTGGGCACAACACAGACGACCACAATATACACTTTGTATTAGTTCAATACCATCTTGTAATTTCTATTTCGTAGCCTATATATTTATAAACATCATCGATAAAACACCAAATAAATTTACGTCTTGCCATCGGTGCATGTCATGTTTGCTCAATGGCATTGTGCTTTTGTGCAATATAGATAAAATAAGGATATGTTGTTGAGCGTTGTACTGTATTTCTTTTAATAAACTAATCGAATGAATACCATGGTAGATCTGCAGAAATACACATGTAGCTGTGTTGATGCATACTTAGCATGGAACTTGACATTCACTAAGATTGGTCGATGCATGCAGCTAATGGAATATTATCAACATGGAGCTGCACCTTTTTATTTCCCTGCGTGAGCAAGTTAGAAGGGTAAAGTAAGGTTCATATCTACGGCACGAAAGGTATAACAATTCTGCCACAGCCCCCTTTTTCTGGTGTTTATTGCTCAGCATACCTTTTCCTGCATTTCTCACAGCAGTGCAGCCCGATGCCACTGAATATGCTTGCTGTGCACTCAATTTATACTTACACATAAGAAGCCAGTTAGTTATGCAGGGTGCATCTGTATGTTGCACACTGCGGAATTTCGGTCATTGTTTCTTGTGTATTTATTATAGGTTTCCGGGATTCCATTTCCTGTATAAGAAAAACAGCTTGACCCCACTTCTCTCGAAGGCACCAGTCATCTCAGCAGCTGAAGATGATTGTGCAAGCAGCAGTGACGAGTTGTGGTTTTGCAATTAGAAGTATACCAACACTGACATTACATTAATCTAACCCCAATTACACTACCTTATCGAATGTTCTCATTTTTAATGTTAAAATTTATACTGCGAAATATAATAGGTTGTAAATGTGACTCCAGAAACTCGCTTACTCTTTCTACGTGTTTTTTTCTATTGTATAGGTGTCATTCAACGCCATACCTCTCAGTGGTTTGCCCGACTAGCGCACATATTTTTGAAAGTTGTGGGGATTTATTGTAGATAAAACAATGAATTTCTAGTATAGAGAAAAAAACTTGGTCAATGAGATATTTCAAAGTTTTGCGGAATGCCGTCAGAGTCCTGTTTGTCAGGTTTCTTGCAGTTTTTTTTATAAATAAAGACAGATGTGAACATATGGGCCTAACTTTTTTGCTTCGGTTGAACCTTACGCTACAGCTTACTGCTTGCACTACGGTGGTGTGGTGCGTGCATGTGTGTGTGTGCATATGTATGTATGTGTGTGTATGTGCCTGCCGCGTCCTACTTTGTCGTTTTTGGCACAGTCTACCTACACATATATACTCTGTTGTTAAGCAGCTAATTCAAGTCCACGGCACCTTATTTTATCAGCTGCATGCATGCAGGTATAATAAGTGCTTTTGGTGACACATACCAGTATCTTCCTCCTTCCCTGCCAGCCACAGACAAGGTTCATATATGCTTCTCCCTGAGAACAGTTGAGGCTTGGGCCAGTTGGTGATGCATATTTGATAGAACGAAGTACTATGAATGGCTCTCCTCAACACACAAAACGTAGCGTCATCTTCTATGTTTCACCTTTTGTTGTCGTGTTAATTGCGCTCCATTTGATTAATAAGTATGCTTATCCATGTAACTGCCATCGTTTTAAGAGTGTTTTTAGTGTTACACCTCACTCGCACGGGTGTAGCTTCATTAATTCTCATGAATTAGGGGTGTTCATAAACACCTATAAAACTTTGGTGTGACGTTTCTTTACACCCTAAGTGTTCAGGGTGTTTCTAAACACTTTATTGTTTAGGCTGTTCCTAAACACCCTAAAAGAGTGTTCCTAAACACTCTTTTAGAGTGTGTTCTATTGGACACACCCTAAAAGGGTGTGTTCCATAGGACAAAAAATACGCCCTTATGAGTGTAAACATTTTTGCAGTGAACGAAGCACGCTCAAAGCATGTCCTGAAATGATTCAAAACAGCGGATCCCATGTACCTTGGGAATCGATGTAATGCGAAACATGGTGAGGAAGGGGGGGGGGAAGTTGCGGTATGTGTAATCTATTATTTAGCGAGATTTTACGAAATTACACTAGAGATATTCACAAATGCTGTACACACAGACATATGTTGGACAATCGCCTGGGTTTTATAATATATAGACCTAGTTGCTTAGAGCTTCGCAAGGATGCCTACATCCACTTAGGTACTGCCAAGACTAGATGCCTTAAGGATATATATTGCGGTTGTGCTTGAGAGGTTGGTGACCCCGGCTAGTGCTATGCAGACCAACTCCAGTGCTTCGGGCTCAAGTATAAAATACACGTTGACCTAACGTGATGCCTGAATCATAGGATGGCATAAATATTGTTTATAATACTAGGAAGCCAGCACTGCAACCACAAATGCCGTTTACTAACATTACGCCTGCATAGTGTATTTTTAATAAGCAATATCAAAACCTGGCGTGGCTCCCGTATAGAATACTTAATTATCAGGAAGAATTCTAGGATTCGATTACTTCTGATATTTATTCTTTTCTCTTTCTGGGTCTACGCGTCTGATGTCACGTTTCCTTAGCGCTCTTTCATTTTAATTACCAGTGTGTGTTCTCACCGTTACTGGGAAGATATAGCGAAGTCCTGCATCCACTACTTTCGAACGCAGTGCCTAGTTGAAGCTCACATGTATGTTTCTTGTATGTTCTCTTTTTTTATCCGAGTCTCTAGTTTTCGTTCCTCGATCTTCTTTCTCCAGTAGAGGATAGCAAACCGGACGCTCGTCTGGTTGAGCTTCCTGCCTGTCCTTGTCTTTTTGCTGCTTGCTCCACCTCTGCAATTCCCATTGGCGCATACCTAGACACCGCTGCTAAGAGTATACGGGTATGGGTCAGAATTGTTTGGAGGAAACGGTTTGAACCATACACGACAAAATTCACACGTTATTCATTTCATGATCAGCCGCAGATATTCGTCAAACCCTCCTACACTCCCGCACTAATGTTCGTATACCTAAAGTAGGGGATCACGAAAGCACCCAGACGTATAATGGTAGCCAGCTTAGCTAACTGTTCCAGACAGACAGACAGACAGACAGACAGACAGACAGACAGACAGACAGACAGACAGACAGACAGACAGACAGACAGACAGACAGACAGACAGACAGACAGACAGGCAGGCAGGCAGGCAGGCAGGCAGGCAGGCAGGCAGGCAGATAAATAGATAGATAGATAGATAGATAGATAGATAGATAGATAGATAGATAGATAGATAGATAGATAGATAGATAGATAGATAGATAGATAGATAAACAGACAGACAGACAGACAGATAGATAGATAGATAGATAGATAGATAGATAGATAGATAGATAGATAGATAGATAGATAGATAGATAGATAGATAGATAGATAGATAGATAGATAGATAGATAGATACAAACACTCAAATTGCTTCGGTTCACTGAGAACTGCTTCAAATTTAGTGACTGAACAGGTCACAGGGAAAAGTTTAATTATCTGGGCGATGAGGACTTATTGTTATAGATTTATTGTGGCGCAAAATGTCCTTAGTGCACGCAAATTACGGCCTTTGCCAAGTGTAAATTTGATGAGAGCTAGAAAAGTTATACTACCGTTATCTCAAGTTCTCCCCGCTTTACCGAGAAAGTGGCTCGGAACCTATGGTCATTTTTGCTGAGAATGGCAGTTACGTTTACTTTCTTGCATTCCCTAGAGTTTTACTATACTAGGGTCACCTGCTTTCTTCATAATCACATGCAACTAATCACTCTGGTTTCACACTTTATTGGTAAGAAATTGTTGGTGCCGTTGTATCACTTATTGTGCGGCCTTGTGTTCAACTACATACTGTATACCCCCACCTGCTATGATAGCTTTGAGTATTTACGAATAAATGAGAGATTATTATTTATTCGAATATTGAAATAATAAATTAAATAATCATTATTCGCAGTGAAGTTTATTATTTGCCTTTCTGAACCCAGTTAGACTTTCTATAATAGTTCCTTATTGTATTTTCACGTGATATACGAGACGCAAAAGTATACGTGTCCCCCAGTTCATCAGTGACCTAAGACAAGCTTCTTTTTAAAATTGGTGAAGACAATGGTGCTCACGGTTGATGTGTCACCTTCGTCAGGGGCCTAAGTGGCTTTATTCATATGCCACGAATCTCTGTGTATGTTTCCAGATCGCGTATAAGGACTTAAAGCCGTAGTTACATGTTACTAGAACTACGGCTTTAATTCTTGGTAAATACAAGTAAATGCGGAAAATTAGCTAAGAATATTAGGGTCAAACTTCATTGTTGAGAAAAAGCTGAATCGCGGCACCTTGTTGGC